GGAAAATGTTGTGAGAATCAAGAAAATAATCACATGATGGGAAAAGCTTTAATATGCAAACAAGTTCTCTTAACCAATTCTTCCAGGAAATGTATGGAGATCAGTCTGGATTGTATTTGGATACTGGGGATTAAAGGGTTTATGATTAAGGGGTGAACTTGCCTGGATCCTTGCCCTTTGGACAAGTAAGCTATAAAATTCATCCATTTGTCCTGGACTAACAGGTGGGCCTTTTTTTGAGCCCAGCTTCTGGGTTGCCACCTCAAGGGAGGACACAGAAAGCAAAGCTTTTTTAATGTCAGAAACAGCTAGGAAGCATACAAAGCGAAACCTGCGATGATTTGCTTATAAGAGTAGTTGCCTTAAAGTATTGCTAATATGCAAAGCTAAGCAGAAATTAAGGCACAGATTAATTTTTTTCTGCAAATTCAGGATATCATGTGCTGGAATGGGTGAAACTCTCATGGCATCATTGAATCGCAGTTGACCTTGAGTATTGCAACAAGTTTGGTCAGCCTCTCAGTAGCTACTTGATAACATACATTTTGTCCTTTCAAAAATCATGGAGCATCTTGGTTCTTTGCCAGTGAAAAAATAATCATCAAGTAGCAAACATTTTAATCCAACTAATAAAAAATTCTCCTTAATTCTGTGACATACTATGAAAGATCAAATATGAAAACAATGTGAGTGCAGCCTCCAAAAGAAGCCAAAGAACAATGGGAAACACAAGGGAGTTCTGGGATTTTTTTTCTGCAGTGCATGATAGCCAAAGTATATTCATTTTGTTTAGGTGTGTCATTATAAATTAATGTAATTCTCGAACTTACTATCTTTATTGTAGGTTTTTGTTTATGCAAATGATATTTTTTACATGGAGTCACCTTCAAGTTCTGTTGTGCAGTTAACGCATAGTGGAGTAGAACACAAGATCTTTAATGGAGTTCCTGATTGGGTTTATCAAGGTAATTTACACCGTTCATCTCAGTTAATTTTCTAGTTTTTACTATTATTCCATTCAGCAACAAACTTTCTTTGAAGGGAGAATTTATCTGGAAGGTAAAATTTTCAAAGCCTCCAAGACATGTTATTTCTAGTAGAACCCTGTGAAGCTCCCATTTATTTTTACTTTCACTAAGTTTTTCAGTGAATTTGATTTGAATTCCTGTTAACTACCTTTTTTACCACTATAATTTTGCCATTAACTATTCTTCATTTCTGTTGTGAGTTTAAGTTAGCCAGGAGTTGCGATGTTTCAATCCAGTATTTTGAAAGACCTCACTTAACTCCCCACACCTCCCCTCTGCAAGGAAATACTGTGATAACATTTCAAGACTTTTGTTTGATAACTTGCCATCGTACATCAGGTTTGTCTTTTTTTCAACAGAGGAGGTGTTGAATTCAGACCACGCCCTCTATTTCTCTCCTGATGGCCAGTTCCTAGCATATATTCAGTTTAATGACTCAAAAGTCAACTGGTATCAATTTCCTTGGTATGCTCTGTCCTTCTTACGGATATGGTGGTATTCTTTTTAACGTTATCCAAAACCAGGATATTCAAATCCCACAGTAAAGGTGTTTGTTATTGACCTCAAGAACAATAAACGGGTCCAGCTGCCTGAGCCATCAAGTTTCAAGGACATGTGAGTGTCTTCATAGATTTTCAGCGATTATTTAATTGCAGCTTGATATTCTCTTTATGTTTTTAACTGCCTGCCTTGATTAGCCAAGCTAACATCAAGCCACTGGAAATAGCTCTCTCTGCATGCTGCTTTCTCTGGGATAAGTTGTTGTAAAGGAGAGTTGTGATATTTTAGCTGGCCGTTAAACAGCGTTCCAGTTAATTCTTTCAAGCGGAGAGTCATGGAGACTATATGAGGGGTCACCAGCGTGCAAAGAAAGCAGTGTCCGATAGCCTGGGGCTAGTGGATTTTGCTAGCGAATTATGTTCTTAACTTGCCCGACTGGCAAGTGAAGTATTTTGAGGAATTCAACGTACAGGAGAACTGTGAAATCAATTCTACTCATCAAAAAATTTTGGGGGCTAGTTGAATTAATGTTTGGGCTAGTAAATGTTAGCTTCAGCTTGCCTGAATGGCAAGCTGTAAAAATGACTTTCTTTGTGCCATGGGTCACCCAGACCACTCGATAATTTTTTTTGTTATATTTACTTACCATTTATATTTCATCTGTTGGGCCAGGAAGCCTCCTTTGTTGGGTCACTGACCCGAGACCCATCTCTTATCTTTGACACTGCCTTGAAACTTGACATAAAATTACGTATTAAGTTTTAGTGCTCTTTCTATTTACAGCGATCATTATGTAGTGAATGTAGGCTGGGTATCAGAAAAAGCTGTCTCTGTTAACTGGCTCAACAGGGACCAGAATGAAGCTATTCTTCATATATGTGAACAGCAGTCAGCTCACTTCATTTGTAAAGAAGTAAGTCCAGCTTAATATTCAGGAATTATTGGATAAGGCTGAGTATAATCTGAACCCCTCCAGATGTACTTAATATTATTCCTCAAGCTCTAATGGCCTCTGAGTCAATAGCCCATGAGGCCTTTGGCCTCATGGGCTATTGACTCAGAGGCCATGAGGGTGAGAGGAGTAATTGTTTTAGTAAAATCCAACTAGTTGGTCAAAAATATCAAGCAAAAAAAAATTTTGGCTGGTTAAAGCTAGACTTGAATCCTTTTTTGCCGCCAAAAAGCCCGCGGTTTTCGCTACTAGGGGGCTATAACATATAGCCTAGTAGTAGCTCAACCATCAGAACGCAACATTGATAATAGACCACTAGTTGGAATTTACTAAATAAATAATATCTCAAATAATATCTTCAAGGAAATGTAAGGAGATCTCTTTGGAATGTGGGTATGTCGATATGAGGGTTAATATTGTGGGTGACAAATAATATTATTACTCCATAATTTTTGTGTAAAATTTCAGCATTAATTTAAAATTCCAAAAATTACAAAATTGCTATGGCAATGTTCTGGAAACGATTCAGTGTCAAGGTTTTAAGATGTTATGAATAAAGATCTCAGGGTAACAAAAGACGCTTTAGGAAACCTTAACGCACAAAGGAGTACATCAAGAAGGATTCTAACAGTATATTGTTGAAAAATTCAGAAAATTACAGAACTTAAGCCCAAGTTTATGCTCTAAACTTTACAGTGTCTGGAGTTCTCGATATAATAAACAAGAAGAAACCCTGCTATTGTGAGCATAATTTGTCAACCATGATATTGATTGGTAATCAAATGGTATAATCTTGGAATTAGGGAATAATTTCTTGTGTATTTTGTCCAAATTCTTATGATTGTTTCAATTTGGACAAAATATGCATGTCACCACTTGATTACAAATACTGCATGTTTTAATGGATCATACTTACATGTGTATTGAACTTTTTTTGGATGATGATAGTGGTTACGGCGATGATTAAAGGCAGGTTTTCACCAATGACAGAGTTGGAGTCAGAGTCATAATCAGAAGCATAGAGTGAAGATCTAGTGAAATCAGCATTCTGATTCTGCTTATGACTCCGTTGCTTACATTCTGCTTATGATCTAGTGAAAACTAAATTGTCAGAGTTGGAAGCAGAAGGGGAAGAACTAAACCAATCACAAAGCGTGGGAACATGCATTGTGATTGGTTTATCCTTCCCCTTCTGCTTCCGACCCCCACAATCTGGTTTTCACTAGATTATAAGCGGAACATAAGCAATGGACTCGTAAGCAGTGTCGGAAGAAATGGAAACGTTCTGATTCTTCGGACTGCGATTCCGTTGCTCTTATGACTCTGCTTACGACTCCGATTTTTGATTTTCACTAGGTCATAGGAGCTCTTACAACTCCGCTTACGACTCCGCTTACAACTCCGACTCCAACTCTGTCGCTAGTGAAAACCGGTCTTAAGAAAGCGGGGGATGACTATAATGACATTGTTTGTGGACAGTGTACATTATTAATTCTTTCTTTTTATTGTTTTCAGAATTCCAAGCTGACTGTAAAGGGTGGTTGGGTGGATGATAAGGTGAGATGTCTTTTTTTAAGCCTCAGTGTAAGTTTCACTGTCTGGTTTATGGAGTAAGATTGATTCAACCTTACTTACAGGGTGGATCTTGTGAACTATCTTACAAAGTCTCTTTGTCAGTACAATAGGAATTGTATGTAGAACGGTATGGAAGTTGATATTGTTGCTAAAAATGGTAAAGAGTCCTTCTTTTATGTTGGTAAGACGAGATAGTCATCTGAGTGTGTAATAAACCTGAGGCTGATAGTACGTTCATTTTAACCCAAAGATTCCAAGCCTGCCAACTAAAAAAATGGTGGTTTTAAGAGTGGCAGAGCCACTCCCTTTGAGTGCCAAATGCGCTAGCCTCTAGTGGGCGTGGGGCCATGCTCTCCCGCCTCTTAGATGCCATTTCCTGCATTTTGAGATCACATTCAATGGAAATACTGCCCTCAAAATTATCGCAGGCTCATAGTTGGTTGCCAAAAGGGTAATAACAGCTGAGAAACCACAGAAAATTGGCAAAGAAGCGTACTAAAAAAACTGGTTTAACAAAGAAATGGAAGAGTTTCAAACACCGGGAGAATTCTAAGCCAAAACGGGAGGCCGTAAACATTTGACATAAAAAAGGTTGGTTTCTGGCCAAAGCCAAAGGGCTGGAATCTCTGTTAACCCCGCCCCCCCCCCATCTCCATTAGTGCTCTGTTTTATGGGTATTCTAAATTTTTACTTCAAGCCACATGGAAAGGACAGAATTGGAAAGAAAAATATGAGTTGAGACCTGGCAATCGAATTGGCATCTACTACGCTAAAGGCTGTATACTAACCAACTGTGACAATCCTTCCTCCTAGTGCTGATTTTAGGGTTTCCTCTTATCTATGTTTAGTACACCACACCTAAAGCCTCCAAAGATGGTTCATACTACATTACCCCCTGGCCATTTCCACAAGGCTCTGAAGGAGACTTTATTCACATAGCAAAGATGCGCATGAATCCAAAGGAAGGTGTAAGTATAGAAAAGATCTAATACAAGCTGAAGATAAAAAACAATTCTGAACTTTCCACACGGGATTAAACCGTTTGGCACTTAAAGAATGGGAGGAAAACTGGACCAAGTTAATTTTCACAAAGGCTTCTGTGATAGTGTTTTTTTTTTTTCAATATATTTATTGATAATCAGATTAAATAATTACATTTACAATACTCCAAAAAAAAACACTTTAACAATAGACATTAACAGAGTAAAGCAAAATTAATTGTTAAATTATTACAGGGATAAAAGAAATTATAAAAAAGTACAACAGGGCAATGAAATAATACAGAGTTAATACAGTTAACTCAAATAAGGCGTCAGTATCCACTTTCTTTTAAAGAATTCTTTGTTGCTGATTTTTTCTTCTGTTTCATATTTAGCGATGATCTTGGCCCTAAATCCATAGATGTTTGGAAGGACTTGTTTGCTCCTACTTCTGTGATAGTTGCTCAAGACTTTCTAGTCAGCTATATGCTGATTTTTTTACAAAAATTTACAAAACTCAACAATACTAACTTCAATTACAGTCTTAGGAATCTTGAAACTGACCTAGCACTTCCAAGGCCAAAGACTAATTTCCTCAGGCGTAGCTTTAAGTACATTAATTAAAATGCAAGATTTTCTATTCACATTATATCTGTGTTCTTAAGGAACGGCAAACTCCAGAGGCTTTGACAAGTGGACCTTGGGAAGTGTTAAAGATTCTTGCGCATGATGATGTTAATGAAATAGTGTAAGTGAACCATTTAAGCTCCAATAGTAATGGATTCTTTTTGGTAACGGTTAATAAGATAACCTGCATCCCTGTTCAAAAGTTGGATCACTGGATAAATCTCCATCCAGTGGATAACACCTATCCTTTGGAGAGTGTTTTATATGGTGGATAGCGCTATCCAACATTTGAACAACCTGGTGCCTGGTACATATGTGGAGAACTTGAACAAGGGTTTTGGAGCTGTTTTAGTTCCATCTGTGGCACAGGCTATCAATCAGATAGAATTATTTACTATTGGAATATTCTGTGTAGTTGGTTTTAGCAGTCTCTTCTTAAATTACTGTAAGGCTGTCCTTGGTAGTGACATCCCACATAGAAGTTGTGCATGGAGAGGAATTTGTATTTCACTAGTTGCCGTGAATAAGACCGCCCTTTGAGACAGTTGAATACTAGCAATAAACATGATGTTTGCATAAATTTACAAAATGTCTGTTGTAAACTTTAATAAATTATTGTAACTTGCATACAGGTACTTCTCTGCAACAAAGGAATCACCAACAGAGGCACATGTGTACAGGTTTGTTAGAAATTTAAGATTGTGGAGATTATTAAGNTGTTTGCATAAATTTACAAAATGTCTGTTGTAAACTTTAATAAATTATTGTAACTTGCATACAGGTACTTCTCTGCAACAAAGGAATCACCAACAGAGGCACATGTGTACAGGTTTGTTAGAAATTTAAGATTGTGGAGATTATTAAGTTGCATTCGTGCAAAAAAATACTCCAATCATCACGTACATTTGCAATGAAACAAAACATGTGATAATCATGATTTTGGCAATGTAACATTTGACCTGATTAGTTTACTTGCCACCAATCACATTATTTCTTATAATTTATTATTGCAATGGCATACCAGAGTTTATGAGGAAAAGTTCGATGTTAACAGTAAAATAGCTCAAACAAATGCAAAATATTTAAAATTTCATTGTCAGAAAGTTGAGTACTGAAGAAATGGCAACCTTCAGCGATTATCCAAGAGATTTCAGACTCTAAACTGGAGACTGGGAGATACGGTCTAAATAGCTGGAGTCTCCTGGATTGTCTGAGAGAGTGGACAACACTGCAGTGCATTGATGCCTTCATTCTCTAGTATAGATAAGCATGTTTGCAAACCTTGTTTGGATATTAGAAAATTTACTTACACAGACTAATGTGTAGCTTGCTGCATGCTATTTCTTGCAGTGTTGACATAAGAACTACAGAACTCAAATGTCTGTCTTGTAATCTACCAACACTTAACCGTAAGTATGAGCGTTGAACCTCGATTATCCAGGGTGCGTAGCGTATGATTTTCATGAAATAACTAAGATTTCCTAATCCAGGGCTGTCAATAAGATTTTAAGTTGCTGGGTAAATACAACAAGTAGGCGGGGAATCAAAGAGCTAATGATTTCTTTTGGTTCTATTTTTCTTCTGCTTTCCTATGACAGTAGCCGGGGGCCACGTTCTTAGCTGCCGGGGGAAATCCCTGACCCACACCTCTTAATGACAGCCTTGCTAATGAGTAAGGCAGCAGGGACCACAGGGCTCTGCTAGCGTACAGTTCTACAGCTCAATTTATAGAAAGAGAAAAGTGGCAAGAGTGGCGGGGAGGGGTGAGGGGGGCGGGGTTCTGGAACTCCTTAAACCCTCCACAGAGTTCACCCTGGTCACGTGACAACACTGGGCCAGCTCAACTGTAACTGTGTACACTGGTTGAAGCTTTAATATTGTTACTTTTAACAAAACCTTTGTATTTAGACAAAAATCATTCCTCCCAAAAAAGTAATTCATATTAATTTATTTGTTTATTTTGTTGTAGCTGGAAATAAGTGTTCCTATTATGGTGCAAGTTTTAGTTTGAAAGGAAGCTGGTACACTTTACACTGTAAAGGTAAATGATAATCATCCAAAAATGATTATCTACTCTACATCAATTAATTATCTCCTTAATATGCACCAAGTCTGACAGAGTTGCCAGTAGAGCCCCTTATAATGGCATAATTGATACGAAAAAGAGTGAATAAAAACTCTTGCTTAAAAGCTCTTGCAGTTGTACTTGCACTTGTTGATGTTTGCTTTTATATATATATATATATATATATATTTAATTACCTACAAGCTTGGCGATTTTTTCAGAAATTTGCAGGTGAATCTGTCCAAAAGATTTGTAATTAAGGGATTCAGCTAATATCAGAGTTCATTTAGCGATTTATCACTTGTTCAGTGTTCTCCCTAAATTTAAGCTCAGCAGCTAAGGGACCATTCATGGCCGGTAAGGCAAAAAATATGCCTCACGGGTGCCCTTTTCTTTGGTAGGGGGGAGGGGGGGGAGAGGGGTAGTGGAGTGAGAGACATGGCCCCATCCTACGAGGAGCTAAGTTCTTTGAAACATCATTCTCTCATTTTAAGACCTCTTTTACGCAAATCAGCTCTTGATATCTTTAGACAACAATTTAAAACGTTTGATCCCAATAATTTTACTCTGTATTTACTGTTCTTTTTCCAAAATGCATGGCCCATGAAAAGAAAAGCTGTGTATACTTTAGTACTTTTCTATATATTTATTCATTTCCTTGACTGGATTGGAACACAACTTGCGTATTTTTTAAAACTACTTATTTCATTTTAGTAAACCTTCAAAAAGTGGCAGGTGGTGAGAAGTGTTGCTTCAGGCAGTAAATTTTACCAGTTACCGCCTGATAAGGAGAACACTGCTTGTTGCCATCCTGTTCGGAAATGAGGACAACAAAACATTTTGTCACCCTATGTATTGTGTGATGGCCAGTCATACTTGGTAGATATCACTTTTCTGGAAACTGATTTGTTTGCTTTACATTCTTTTTAGGTCCAGATATACCAGAAGTAACACTACGCAGTACACAGAAGGACCCTGAAGGTAGATAAATTTGTCAATTTAAGCAGTATTTGCCTGGGGCATATGAAGGTCCTGTGGTACAAAATGTAACTAAATTAATAAAGGTATATTAGCTAGATAGAACAACTGTTAACTGTGACAAAAGATGGATCGAATTGCAATAATCTCATTTAGATTCTTCATAGCCAATAACATCACAGCTTAATTCCATCACGACTTAATTGACCAATTAAAGCAATCATGATCAGGTCAATAACCAGAGCTGAATACCATCAACTGACATGATACAACTCACTTTGACTCCCAAGATGTCACTGATATCTTATCTTCTCTCAAATGGAGATCTCAGGAGCTTAGGTGATCTGACGCATGTCTCTGTGTGCTGTACAAACAGAGTAATGGATTAGCCACTTACGAATGTGACAAGTTTCAGAGAGAACATAAGAGCAGAATGGATACTATGCTCGCGTCTCTTAGGGATCGATTTGAGCTGCCACGTTGTACATGCAATTATTATAAGAACTCTTTTTACCCTAGAACAATAATTGTTCTTGGGTAAAAAGAGTTCTTATTATAATTATTACACAGTGGAATAATCTCCCACCAGAAATTATAGCATCTACTTTGCCATGTTCATTTAGGCAATCCCTGTCATTGTTGTAATTTTTATTATTTAAAGCAGTCTGCAATACTCTGTTAAGAGTGAAGACTTATTTGTGAAATAAATAAATAAATAAGATAACTACTGCAGAAGTTGTCGGAATTTCAGGGAGTGTTACAAAAACCCTATTCAGAACTACACTTGCTTGGATGATCATATTTCACCTATACTTATTAAATGACTCCTGGTTTCAGACCATTGACAGTTTTTCAATGTTTTCTCTGTTTATTTTTTCTTGTAAACCAGTTGTAGTGCCACTTCAATACAACAGAGATTTAATGGACAGACTCGATGGAGTTAAATTGCCAGGAATAAAGACTTACACTGTCAAAAATGGAGATTATGGTAGGTGTTTCTATTATTATATCAGACTCTTGTTCATTAAAAGCTATGCTGACAAAATTGCCAGTGATAGTAGATGGACACCTTAGAATGATGATCTTCTTTACTTATGTTATACTACTACATGAGAAATTTCTGCAATTTGATTGGCTTAGAGCAGCGGTATTTCAGCTCAATTTGAAATACCTACATGTGAAAATTACAAACCTTTTGCGGGTAGTAGTATAAACAAATAATAGCATGATTTGTATGTGATATTTGGCAAAAATACCACTCATGATATTTCAAAATTATCTCAAATTTTACTTGCCTAATGGCTCATGAAATTACGTATAACAATTTTGAAATATTACTTGTGGTATTTATGCCAAATATCGCGCCTACAAATCATGCTATTACCTATACAAACGAATTCCATTGATATCTTACAATAGCCTGAATTTCAGACATCTCTTTAAGTTGCATCCTTTTAGGGAGCATGAGACTTGAAAGGGATTACAAGTGTGGTTGGTTTTGTTGTGTTCACAGGTATTGCTGTTGAAGACAAAAACACCAGATGAGATCAGTTTTACTTTTCATGTACCAATCTAGCTAGATTTGGCTCCAATAGTAAAGTAATTGAAAGATGCATTGGCCAGAACATAATATTTCCACCTCTTATCACACAGCATAAAGTTTATTTTTAGTTCCTCTGTGGAAGGAATTATTGGGCTGAGAGAGAAACAAAAATTCCCTCATCTTTGTATATGAGAGTAAATTCACTTCTGGTGATAGATAATGATTGACATAATGAGAGTTTTTTGTGTAGCAAGAATGCATAGGAGCAAGTTAGTTGAATAAATCTTCACATTTTGAATTGTCACTTATGGGAATTTCAACTACGTCAACTTTATGATGATTGAATGTTCTTTGCTATGTAGATCTCTATGTCAAGGAGTACCGTCCTCCAGGTTTTACAGAGGACAAGAAATATGGCGTCTTGTTTTCAGTGTAAGTATCTCACTCTTGGAAGTGATTCAAAATCATCATCATCATCATTATCATTACCATCATCAAGAAACATTTTTCTTGAAAGTACAACTTTAGAAAACTAATTATGATAATTTTTTAATCTTCTTATACAGGTATGGCGGACCAAGTTCACAAAAGGTAAATACTAAAACAACTATTATTTTACTGAAGTTTGCTTACATTAAGTTTGATCAACATGTAACTTGTGGTGTCAAAATTCAAAATGGCATTTGATGTTCTTATACATAATCACTAGAAAATATAAGCTAGGGGAAGACTTTTTTGAAGTGTCAATATTATCATATTCATCTTCTACGATCATGTCCTCAATTCTCATGACCACTTTGTTTTATAAAGCATTGATAGCACAAGGAGAAATTTCATGCTGATCAGTCTTAGGGCTAAAAGGGTTTAAGGGTTTGATAACCATGTCGTGATGCAACTGAACTCACTAAGTGTTCAGAGAACTTTTTTTTCTGAGTTTCCTGTGTCACAGACTTATTAATTGTCCTATATGTACCAAAAGGTTGTGGACGCTTATGGATATGGATTTGAAACTGGTTATCTTGTCAGCAACTTTGACTTGATTGTGGTGAATGTAGATGCAAGGGGAACCTGCTGCAGAGGAGAGAGGTAATAATAATAAATAAGTAATCTTAATAATAATCTTGTATTGATAACAAAGCTAACTATAAAATCCTATGTGCTAGTAATTTTGCTTAAAAAACTATTCAGTCAAAGCACTATTTACAATTCCTTGCAATTAAAAAACACTTAATTTTGATTTAAAATTCATTTCAATTCAACTAATAATAATAACAAAAACAACAAAAATAATAATAATTCCAACTGATTTTGAAACATTCCCAATAAGGTGAAAGCTCAAAGCATTCTCCTTTTTTCCCCATGGTTTGTTGAGATCCTGAAATTTTGCTACCATAGCAACATGACATAATGACTTCTCCTCTCTTTTGGGTTGGAAACTAACTATGAGATATAAATTTTGTCTTTGTAGGTTTAAGCATGAAGTTTATAAGCAGCTAGGGAAGACTGAAGCAGAGGATACAATAGCTGTTGCAAGGTATAACATGCTCTAAGTTTCCACCTGGGGAGCAAGGGTGGCACAGTGATGAGACCACTCGCCCCGCACTAATGTGGCCTGGGTTCAAATCTTGGCGTCAACGCCATATGTGGGTTGAGTTTGTTGTTGGTTCTCCCCCTTGCTACAAGAGGTCTTTCTCCGGGTATTCCAGTTTTCCCCTCTCCTTAAAAACCAACACTTCCAAATTCGAATTCGATCTGGAACACTCAGACACATTTCAATGAGTTCTCATGAACTCCTAAGTGCTCTGTGGGTAAAAAAATTACAACAAATTACACAATTACAATACATTTTGTATGCTGCTAAAAGGGAGAATATATTCAAAAATAAAGGCATTTCTGGTAGTCATTTCATTCACGCAAGGGCAAATGATAAACTGGAGTAATGGGGTTGGAAAACTATACAGTGGATATTTCTAATTTCATGTAGGTGTTTAGTTAACCCTTTTTCTTCTAATAGTGGCCAAATGAAATATTTTTGTAAAATTTTAAGAAATAAATTGAACCATGCAAAAGTTCTGCCAAGGAGGATTCCATTTGAATGGTCACACCGTCACAGGATTTTGTCCACATAAGCAAAAATCATCTGATCATAAAGTCTCCCCATTACAGTCAACTCCCTTTATAGCGGATACTGTAGGGACCTCAAGTTAGTGTCCTCATTAGCGGGAGTCCGTAATAGCGGGAGTTTATTTCAGTCAAACGTCTAAAATTTGGTTTTTCCTGGGATTTAGCTACTGTCCGTTTTATCGGGGTGTCCGTTATAGCGAGGTGTTCGTAAGGCAAGAGTTGACTGTACTGGCTCTAAAAGTGAAAGCTAAGGGACAATTAACTTTATTAGATTGCATTACTGGTCAAAGAATACTTTCATTGTGTTTGACTATAGTGTGAAAATGTGATCTTAGAAACAACATGAACAGTAGAAACAACATGAACCTTTTGACAAGCTGATTATTTCATTTTCACAATATGGTTACATTAAACAGTCATTGCCAAATATTTTAACTATAAGCTGGAGCTTATACACTTACAGTCTGTTCTGTTTTGCAGGCATATTGCTAATAAGAAGTATGTGGATGAAAAAAAACTGGCCATCTGGGGCTGGGTAAGGATATAACTCTATTACTAGTAACAACCAAAGGTAACGGAGTGCAGGCAACAATGATCAAGGGTCAAAATGCTTTTGTTCCAGTGCTGTGCTTTGCGTAAGCTTCATGTGACAATGATCAATGGTCTAATGAGTAAAACTAAAAATTTTAGAAGTATATCAGTGATATAGTTTATTCAGAAGATATCTGCTAATTGTCAGGCATTTTGCATTAATGTGTGCAGGAGGTTGTTTTGGGCTGCAGTACAAGATTCATAACTTGTTTCAGAAACTGCTGCCTAGAATGTGCACTCTGTATCTTTGTAGAGATGTCGATGGTCCAATCACATGATGGAAGATCAAGAGGTCTTGCAATTGTCGCTTTATCTCTTTTTTTTTTTCACAGCTATCAAAGCTATTTAAACCTTGTTTGTAATTTAGGGAGGTCCCTTAATAAGTAAGCAAATCTTAAAAAAAAATTATTATTATTATTATTAGAGGCTTAGCTTGCAAAATAGAATACATCCAAACAAAGTTTATTAAAAACCTGTGTGGCATCCTGCCTATTTTATTGACTGGATTTGAAATGCTGGGTATATAATATTGTGCTTGCTTGTCTTGTTGGTTAGTCCTACGGTGGCTTCTTGACGTCTTACATTCTTGGTCAAAAGTCTGATGTGTTCAAAGTTGGTATGGCTGTGGCACCAGTTACTGACTGGCGATATTATGGTAAGTAGGGCTGCTCTGGGAAGAATTAAAACAACAACCAGGTGCTAAAATACTTAGGCACTAGACTGTCCACACTTGGTTCCTGGGAACCAGTGCCTGGGTGCCAACAAAACTGGTACAAAATGGTGTTGCATTCACAGTACCCGATATATGACTGTGTAAATAGTTACTACATTCTGCCCTGTCCGATGCCATTTTGAAACATGAGCTTAGCAGTGAGTACAAAGCTGCAGTGGACTACCCCAGAACTAATATGTGGGATCTGATGCCTACTTTTGTGCCCGAGTACACTCTGGCACTGGCACCAAGCCCAAATGATACCAGTAGCTTGGGTTCTTGAAAAAGGGTATGTTCACAGTAGTGTCCAGTGAGTACTATTCTCGGGCACCATGCCCAGGAACCAAGTGTAAACACTGCCTTAAAAACTGTACCTTAATTGTTAAGGTATAAATGATGTGTCCATGATCTTGCTTTTTCCATCCCCTTTGTGATAAAAGACACTAGCAATGCAAGACCATCTTTAAAACTTGGAGGGACAACTTTAAATTGGAGTGTGAGGTTGGGGGGGGGGGGGGGGAAGGATGGGTATTTTTTGGGACAGAGCATAGTAATCGACACTAAAATTCATTCCTTCCGACAACAAAGAAGTCTAACAGAGTTGTTAAAACGTCAGTCAAATATTATCAAACCAAACGCCCACAGTGTGAACTCTCCCTTAAGTGTATTATACAGCGTATTAACATTAAAACTATATCTTTTTATATTGTGTTTCAGATTCAATATACACTGAACGATACATGCTGACTCCACAGAAAAACTTTGATGGTTATGAGGTAACTTATAATTTAATGGCAGTTTAAAGATCCAAAGTTAATTTGTAGATTCTGGTTTGGTCTTACTACTAACTAGAACACCCTCATCAGCCACAAAGAAGTTGCATCTTTGATGTACTTATGTATTAATTCATGTTACTATTCATTCAAAATATTTCCCCAATTCTGATTGGCTAAAAGCACACACATAATTCACCATAATCAGTTACTGATGACCAAATTTGGAAGAATTTTGTGTTTAACAAGGAAATGACGTCAAAAATGCAGCCTTCTACAGGTTAATGCACTGTTAACCGAGAAGACCTGGGGACAAGGTTGAGTTGTTTTCGTTGTGAAAACTAAAATGGCGGACACTTCACTCGTTTCAAGAGTAAGAACTACAGGTGGATTTAGGGAAAATAATGGCAAAAAACAGCAAAAACAGCAAGAAGATAATTCCAAGGGCGACATCTGCTTAATTCGTCATATCCTACTCAGCCTCATTCATTGATTGCTAAATATGAGAGTTTCTTAAGGGTGAAGATATGGTTAGGTTAATATTTTAGCTTTAATTTAGTGCAACAGTTATTCCTCCCAGTATAGGTACACAGAAATTGGAAAAAAATCAATTGTTTTAAAGTTCAAAATTAATTGCTATCCTTGATTTTTGCAAAACATGGTTAAGGTCATGCCCATTAGGTCTTTAAAGGGTGGGTGTAAACAAGGTGAAAGAGGTTCCATCAGCCATGAGTCCTGACACCCTAAATGGCAAGTTCCTTGTACGACATTTTTATGGTTAACTTCTTTTAAGACTTGCATTTATAATTTTCCAATTCCTAATGACTGGATAACATTTTAAGGACATATTTAACAGTCTCAACCTCTTACCGGTAAAAACGTGAATGTTTTATTTATTTTTTTGCATAGTCATAAGTGCATGCTTGCATACTCACTTATCTTAAAGATCAGCAAGACTTTTAGTATTTGCTATGTAGTTAATGTAGAATTCATTTCAGGTATCATCTGTACTACCCTTGGCTCCAAATTTCTCAAATGACAGTTTTCTTCTAGTGCATGGGACTGGAGATGGTGAGTTGATAGATTGCAATAAATTGTCTCAGCTGTAAGGTTGTTATCCAACTCTCACATCCAGGTGCATTAAATTAATGCTAGGTGTTAACCCTGTGATGGTCTGTATATAATTTCAATGCTGGGTGGTAATCCTGTGATGGTCTGGAATCCAGCTGATGGGCCAGCCACTTATCATTGTTATTAAAATTAATAAGGGAACTTGCAACTATTCATTCATTGCACTAATATTTACTTTTGGGGTTATTTGGGCCAAGAAAGATGGATGTAACAACATTATCATTATGTTATGTAGTGAAATGTTATTACAGCCCCCTTAGAAGGTGGGGGTGCGCCATCCAATTCTCTAAATCCTGGCCCTGTTTCAGACCGAAAATGTCATTTTCACACCTGTTTTCAGACCTGGGGCCGGTTTCTCGAAAGTCGCGGTAACTTTTCGGGCCCAAAATCAACGAAACACGTCGGCTTCTTTGCTCATAGAGGTCAGCTACTTTTTTACAGAAAGAAGAAGCAACTAGTTTGAATAACGGTCTAAACAAAAAATATATCATAAAATCTGAATGAAAACGTAATTATGATTTGTTTTCCGAAAGGCCCACTGGTTTTACGTTATGCTTTAGTCATGTGAACGCTAAATTTCAGTCATTTTTTCAAAAGTTTGTTACAGGTTTACGCAGAATTTGTCTACGTGCAAAAGTACATAATTTAGTTTTCATCATTTTTTGTTCATTACTCATAGGAATTGATTGTGTGACTGGTAAATTGAAAGCTGCATTTTCTTGAATGAAAAACACGCTCTTTTGTTCTCAAATTTAGTGCCCAGAACGCTGAAAATCGCATTTTTAGGGCTTTGAAATTTATAATTTTCTGGGGCGGAACGCGCTTTGACCTCCCCCCCTAGAAAAGGGGACCAACGGCCCCTTGTTGTTACAGTCGGTTACTCTATCCAAACCGCTGGCTACTTCAATTATTGAGAGCCCTGGTAAGGGAGTGTCTCTACACTCTATGAGAGGTCAACATCATCACTTGGCAGTTGATGGATGGCCTTCTCTTGTTCCTTGTTTACTATTTAATACACCTTTGTGATTTTCTCCTTTAGACAATGTACATTTTCAGAATACTGCACAACTAGTANGTAACTTTTCGGGCCCAAAATCAACGAAACACGTCGGCTTCTTTGCTCATAGAGGTCAGCTACTTTTTTACAGAAAGAAGAAGCAACTAGTTTGAATAACGGTCTAAACAAAAAATATATCATAAAATCTGAATGAAAACGTAATTATGATTTGTTTTCCGAAAGGCCCACTGGTTTTACGTTATGCTTTAGTCATGTGAACGCTAAATTTCAGTCATTTTTTCAAAAGTTTGTTACAGGTTTACGCAGAATTTGTCTACGTGCAAAAGTACATAATTTAGTTTTCATCATTTTTTGTTCATTACTCATAGGAATTGATTGTGTGACTGGTAAATTGAAAGCTGCATTTTCTTGAATGAAAAACACGCTCTTTTGTTCTCAAATTTAGTGCCCAGAACGCTGAAAATCGCATTTTTAGGGCTTTGAAATTTATAATTTTCTGGGGCGGAACGCGCTTTGACCTCCCCCCCTAGAAAAGGGGACCAACGGCCCCTTGTTGTTACAGTCGGTTACTCTATCCAAACCGCTGGCTACTTCAATTATTGAGAGCCCTGGTAAGGGAGTGTCTCTACACTCTATGAGAGGTCAACATCATCACTTGGCAGTTGATGGATGGCCTTCTCTTGTTCCTTGTTTACTATTTAATACACCTTTGTGATTTTCTCCTTTAGACAATGTACATTTTCAGAATACTGCACAACTAGTAGCAGCCTTAACAAAAGCTGGTGTTAAATATCAAGTTCAGGTAAGTGTCTAATGTATAAAAATGTAAAATTCACACAACATTAAGCCATCTTCAGCTTCATTTGAAAGTAGTTCAACTGATGCTTGGGGATTTTGACAAAACGTGTACAGTAAATTACTCTCAGAAGCTTTCACTTGTTTGGTCGCACCTTACATTTTTATGGAAAAGTTGTTAACACTTTTCTTACTTCTCTCTTCAGTTTTACACAGACAAGAACCACGGACTGTTAGGAAAAGAGACGCAACGACACTTATTCCAACTGTTGACTGACTTTCTTACAACTCAACTTAGAATTTAAGAAATTAAAATGTAAAGTAACTTCTTTCGTATTTGATTATACTCAACTCCTTAACCTTTTAACAGTTAGAGCACTGCACAAATTAAGGTAGAGGACAACCCAATGAGCAGAAAATAGTAGAACAGGATAGAATTAAAGAGGTGTCATTTTTTGTCGACTGTTCAGGGATGCAACCGTTAAATTCAGAAAAGGGATGTGGGACGCTATCTTCTTAAACTAGCCCTGGTTGTCCAAATGTTGGATAGCACTATCTCTTGAATATAATAGTATCTTGTTATTATCCTCTGCATAGAGATTTATCCAAAGATTTATCCAGTGGATAGGGTTATCCACTGTTCAAACAGGTCAACCCTAGGCTAATCTTTTACCATCTGATAAAGTCCGATAGGAAAAAATAGGCATTTTCGCGATTTGTCTCAACAGGTTTTGTCCAGGGTTGTAGCTTCATCTTGCCCAAATGGCAAGCTGTAAAAATGATTTTCCTTGCACCCTGCATGAAAAAGTTGTCACAATGCATGGTATTTTTTCTTTCTTTCTGCAGTTTTACCCCGACAAGAATCATGGGCTCAGAGGTGGGGGAACTTCAGATCACTTGTACCATCTACTCACAAGATTCCTGCTTGAAAAATTGTCCATTAGCAGTTGATGTTAAGCTTTGTCAAATACTCAGCAAGACTGTTTACAGCCTCTTTATTTTCATAACAAACTGGAAGATACTTAACCCGTTAAGCCCAAAAATCCACAAATAAATTCTCCAAACTGATCTCTATACATTTCCTTACAGAATAAGTTGGGAGAAATTGATAAAAGATCAGAGATTCTTCTCTTTGTGATCATTTGATTAATTCTTATAGATGTTGCACTTGACAATCTATGGATATTGTCAGGAGAAAATTGA